CATTTTTATTTCCATTTCTTTGAACTGTTTCTGTATATTGCATATTTTTCTATTGAATGATTGGTCTTTTAATTTTATTTATTTATTTTTCAGATAGGTGAAGGGAGGGAGAAAGAGAGGAAGATAAACATTGATGTGAGAGATAAACATCAATCAGTTGCCTCTCCCATGTCCCCAACCAACCTGGCCTGCAACCCAGGCATGTGCCCTGACCCTGAACCAAACCATTTACCCTCTGCTTTGTAGAACAAAGCCTAACCAACCAAGCCACACTGGCCACAGCAAAACTTAAGTGCTATTTTATCTTTTGTTTCCCTCTTGGCTTGTATAGAACGTTGTATTTGTGAATAATCTTTTAAGTATTTCTGACTTAAGGTTTTCTGTATATGTTCCTTAAATTAGGCTACAATAAACAATTCCAGTGGTTACCCAGACACTTGGAACAATAGAACTGGAGAGAGCCATGTATATAATTTTCTTCCCACAAGTTCAACATGATGGGTTCTGCTATCTTCCTCTCTTCCAGTCACTTTTCCTTCCCTAAACCCATGGTATCCTTTCAATGGCACATTTTTCTATACCCTACTTCCTTTTGTAGCATTTGTTTTACTCCTTTACATTTCGATCCAGATTTCTCTCACAGCTCCCCTAGGTTCTCATTGTCTCCTCCTGTCCCTTCCAACTTCCACTATCTGAACTGAATCCTCCAGTCTCCTCCCTGAATTAGCAAAATATTTATTATTATTCCTCTCCCTTAACCCAGCCACCATATAGTTGCTAAAATAATCTTTCTAAATGTGTATGTGAGGGTAACAGGGCTTTAAGCAGTTCTATGTTGTTTGAAAGTTTTAAAACATGCATGTGGTTCTTTTGTCATTAAAAAGGTGCAAACATCAGTATATCACTCCACAGTTTAACATCCGCCTATAGCTGCCATTGATTGCAAGGTAAAACTGAAAATTTTTAGTATTATATGCTCCACTAACTGTGCCACTTCATCAATTAATCGGCTTCATTAAGTGACTTCTTGGCTTTCCTCTTGTTCTCCCAGTCTGCTAGGGTTATCAAAGATGTTCAGTTCTGAATAAAAACACAATAGCACCAATTAAAGCATCTATAATCTGCCAAGCATTTGATGTGTGATCTCATTTTTCAACCCTGTAGGGTAGGCATTACAATTCAGTTTTATAGAGAAACTGAGGACCAAAGAGGTTAAGTGAATTCCCTAAGGTCACATAGATGTTGGCAGGGTCAAGATTTGAACCCTGTTCTGCTTAGCTCTAAAACTTACACTCTTTCCACTATACCATCCTATCTCTTGAATGATGTTCTGGTCATTCTAGCCCTGCCTTTTAGAGAAACATTACTTCCTGTCTTTAAATATACATTAGGAAGCAATTTACTATAGCTCAGACCATGAGCTCTGAAAGCAAACTGCCTGGGTTCAAATTCAATCCTCACAACTTATTAGCAGTGTAACCATAAATAAGTTTATTACTCTGAGCCTCAGCTTCTCCATCTGTAAATTGGGCATGGTAATAATAGTTCCTCTCTCATAGAGTTGTTGTAATTTTTAAAGAGATGACCCATGTAGAATATTTAATATGGCAAATAGTATGCATACCCTCAATAAAAAAGCTATTATTACTATTATTATTATATTGCTGATACATATCAAAATTGTCCTTTTGTTCATGTAGAGCTCCTGATCAGTACATCTGACTCCTGGTTTCCTATATCCTAATTATCCCTTCTACACATTTCTGTGTAGCTTTGCTTTTTTGAGAGTGGTTTTTGCAAATACAGTTTTACAAATACAAATTTTATTAGTTCATACATTAAATGGCTAGTTACTGAAATATGCTGGTCACTTGCTAAAGTGTTACCTAATGCAGTGATTTGTCAAATTGCTTTACCATTTCTTACATAAGTACTAAAAATAGTAATTCATTATTTTCTTTTATCACAGGATTTGTCTTTTTTGCCCTAAGTGTAATCATCAGTTCCACTTGCTTGTCTTCATAGTGGGACTTTACAATGGCCAGAGTAACCTCCTGGTGTATATTATCTGCTCTTCAGCTGATTCACTTTGTGTCAGGTATCAAGTTTGCACATTGCCTTGAAGCACCTATTTTAGAGAAGCCAAACACAAAACCAGCCTTGGGTGGGATCCTCTTGATTTGTCTTGTGATTTGTGTTAAGCATTAAAATGAACTAATTGAACAAAGCCCTGGATATTTTCAGTACCTATGCAGTCTTTTCCATGTAGTATTTCCTTTTCCCTACTGTTGTCAACACCTGCTCTGTCGTTCTCTTAGGAGGAGGCATAGGCCCTCGACAACTTCAGTGGTACCATCTGTGGTTTCTTTATCATTGTTCTTGACATTTCTTCCTCCACACCTTTTGAGAAGTCCCTTTTAGTCTGTACCTGTTGTGTCCTGACTGGAGATCAATAAATCTGAACAATACTCTTACTCTTCTGTGGAATGAAAATGAAGGTTACCAGACCCTCGAGTCCAGACAATGCCAACAATAAGACTGAAAAACAGTATGAAGAGTCTTAAAAGAAGCACTAGTGGGTAGTTGTTGAAATAAAATCTCTCCCTAGACCAAGGTTTTTTAAAATTAAGTTATTGATGAAAGGAAAAAAATGGTTTTTGAAAAAGGACAATCAACTACCTTCCATGTAAAGTCTATTTTACAGGGGGGTTATTGATGTGCCATTTTGTAATCCCAACTCCTTATGGAGATAGGTTTGTAACCATAAATAAATATGAAGTTCTTGCTTGGTTTCCTTGTATCTGGTTTCCCTGTATCTGTCATTCCTTGTATCTGTAATATTCATTCAGGGATCATGGGCAGGGGTCTTAGGGATAACATGGTTCCCATTTTCACAGCATGCTTGGTAAAATCCTAGAGGTCCTAAGCTAGTGCCTTAGGCAATGTGGGGTGAGGGCACAGGGTGGGTGGGGTGAAGCCACAACAGTAGCCAGGCCTCCAGATACCCCTGCCACCAGAACAGCTTTGCTTTTCTATTTTACACATTAATTAGGCTTCCAGGAAATATCTTATTTCAGGAAAAAGAGTCTGCTAATCCAATCCTTTTGTTTTATAGTTGAGTCTTGAGTGTTCTACCCTGAATATATGAAATGAGGACTTTTAATATCATTAGGGCTTATACTACATTTCTGTCAATGTTCTGAAAATAAATTTTTGATATTGACAAAACAAATAAAAGCTCAAATTGTTGCTCTGGCACTTAACCCCCTTCAGGATGGATGCAAATGTTCTCTTTTCTTTCTCATTATTTTGTGCCTAGTAGTGTCAAAACACATCCCTTGGTGATCAAGCATATTGTATGAATCTGACAGGACCCTCTTCTCATTGTATTAGCTAAGCAAGAAATACTGTAAAACAAAGACATTTAAGTTTGTGTGTAAATGTAATGAGAATACTTTAATACTAGATGAAGAATAAGAAGGAATAATGATATAATAATAAAATAAATTATAGTAAAAAAATAAAAATGTAGAATAAGAAGGAAAAGACCAAAGGACAATTTCCTCCATGACCTGAGGTTTTACACAAACACACTAAATTTTGTAGGGATAAAAATCCATAGGAGCATATTAGTACAAAGTATATGCTTGTTGCCTACCCTAAAAGTCTGATTTTTTCCTGGACCTAAAAATGGCATTATTCTTACTACTGTGCTGCTGTTGCTATTGCTACTTCTTTTTCCTGTGTACGTGTACTCTACATAGCAGCCAGGCCCTCCTAAAACTTAAGTTATATCAATCACTTGTCTGCTAAAAAAAAATCCTCAAATGGCTTCCTATCTTGCTGGGTAAAATCCAAGCCCTTGCAATGGCCTACAACTCCCTACATGATCACTGCACACCCTTGACACCCCCCAGCCCAAATCCATTACTAGCATATTTCTCAGACTTTACCATTCTCCTTACTCAATTCACTAACAGGCATACTGACCCTTTGACTGCTTTATCTTAGCATCACAGCATGCAGCTCCCACCCTGGGGCTTTTGGACTTGTGTCATCTCTACCCAAAATGTTCTTCTCCCAGAAGCCTACATGGCTTCTCACTTAATTCTTTCAGGTCCTTGCTGAAATGCCATTGTCTCAAAGAGGCCTCCTCTAAATATCTTATCTCAAATAACAATGCCCCACAAATATTGCCCAATCCCTTTACTCTGGTTTTTCTCTGTAGCACTCATTATATTGACATATTTATGTGTTTATTGCCTATCTCCCCTCACTAGAACATAAGCTCCACATGGGCAGGGACTTTGTGCACTGTTGAATCCTGGGCACAAAGTAAGCACTTAAATGCTTGTTGAATTGTTTTCATCAGGATTTATTTTTTAATTTTTAAAGATTTTATTTATTTATTTTTAGAGAGGGGAAGGGAGGAAGAGAGGGAGAGAAACATCAGTGTGTGGTTGCCTCTTGTACGGCCTCTACTGGGGACCTGGCCTGCAACTCAGGCATGTGCCCTGACTGGGAATTGAACCAGCAACCCATTGATTGGCAGGCCAGTACTTAACCACTGAGCCACACCAGCCAGGGCTTCATCAGGATTTTTTGAAAATTCCTTGTTGTAGCTATATGCAGAAAAGCTAAAACAACTTGAGGCTTCTAGAAATACGTTATTTCCCAAATTTTCATGGATTTGCACTAAAGGCACCACAGGTCTATACTCCAGTCTACCAGGACTTGAAGTAAGAGGAGGAGAATCCAATCAATATATCCTTTTCTACTGCACTCAGGGAATTGAATGTCAGCAGTGAATTTTTTTCCTCCCCATCTCACCTCAAGGTTCTCTTTTCTCATAAAAAGATGGGGGATCTGTGGAATACTGTTATATCTTATACAGAGCAGGTACCCAAACTGACTACATTTCAGCCTTGGAACTAGTCCACACTGAATCTCTCCAGGGTGCAGGTGATAACCAGAATAGAAAGCCTTCTCAATCACAGAGATGAATCTTATAGAAGCTTTTATTTCAGTGATCAAAAGAATGCAGTAAATGGAACCTATATTGATTAACATTGGGCATGCAACTCTACCTCAAGCTGCTGTTAAATTTTGATAGGCCTAAATCTTTACAACTTATTTAGGCACATCTTTGAAATTCTCAGACCTTGATATACAGGGCAAGTTAACTTCTTCCTTGTGGCACTTAAGTAATGAGAATTATGTCACTGGCTAGATTCCTTGATAACTAAAGACGTCTAGATACTCAGCTGCCTATACTGCCTTGAGACCATACTTTAAATAAATCACAGTATAAGGGAGATAATTTAGAAAGCTGAACTGTATTATATGAACATTCCATATTTTTTTCCACCACTGATGGTCAAAACACTAGTTAAGGAGGCCTACAGTTAAGCACCAAATTACTCTTCCCCCACTGCTGCCCTTCCTCAGTGACACCAAGATGTGTATCGATATCCCTAGAAATCTGAAATGAGTCCACGCAAATGACAGATTTTACTCATGTGGTCCCACTATCAAATTATAGAAAGCAGTTCCAGTATCCAAATCGTAGGAAGCAGTTAATGGGACTTTGAGAAAAACACAGTATTACAAACAATAATATGCATCTAGGAAACTTTTCCATTAATCTGTCCACTGTTTTCACAAGATTAATATTTAAAAAAACACACCAAATACACATATGACCCTTAAACCTCAAACACACACAAAAAATTGGTCTTTGTTCATTCTCTGATGACCAGATGCTCCAAGAGTGCCAAAGGTGGGAGCCAATGCCCCCATAGCCTTTTCTTCAACCATTATTCAACTATCTTCTTTTTCGAAAAAGGTAAGGCTGAAATCAGTCAGAAAGGCTTTCTGAGAACACTGGCTTGGATTTCTGGGTCTGTTCCAGTCGATTCAAGATGAATTGGCTTGTATCAATGAAGCGCTCAACGCAGTTCACAAAACAGGCCTCAGCCCGACTGTCCAACTTTGGCCCAGGCTTGTCCATGCATTTTTCCTGGTCAGGACAAGATTAAGAATCACAAAAGGGAATTTTGCAAAAAAAAAAAAAAAAAAGGAAAGAGTAACTTGTTTAAAAGTAAAACTTCACCTAAAAACAATATCTGATGCATTAATCATAGTTCACATTGGGCAGCAGCTTACTTTATGGCAAGAAAATTTCCACAATCTTACATCAAATTCTCATAACCCTACAGAATAGGTAATGTTATTAATCTTCATTTACAAAAGGGACACTGTGACATAGAGATACTTTGCCTAATGTCATAGGGACCAGAAAGTTGTAGAGTTGACATATTACAAAACAAGGAAAATGACAAATTAACAAGTGCATTAACCTTTTGCTGAATTTGGTTACAACTCCACAATGCCAAGTGTATGAAATGTATTTAAATTAACTACAGAATTAAAAGGGTGAAAGGATAAATCATTGCAGCAAGACACCCAAAAATGTACCAAAGAAAAAAAGAAAATCTATGACCTGAGATTCTGTAACCTTATCTACTTAAGTCAGAGGTTCTTGATTCCATCTTAAGTAAGGTGAATGGGAAATTGTATAAATTTTCCTAAAGCTTACCAATTCTTAGAGGAGTCCTTAACCACATTCAACACTGGGCTGAATGTAATGAATTACAGATATTCTTTTTTAAAGAATGAAAGCTCTGTGGTCCAAGGCAGACAGGAGTTAAGTAACCAATTGTTAAGGGGCACAGTCCAGCAATACCATACATTTATTAAAAAAAGGACTTCAGAAACTGATGACTGTATCTAGTTCAAGTTAAGTAGTTCAAATGAATGTTGGTCATTATTATCTGCTGTGTACATAAGCCTCAGACTCTCCTGTTACAATGAAAATTACCCTTGGCCTCTGAACTCTATGAATTTTGTATGTCAGGGCACAGCAGTTATGCTGTCGTTGGCAGCCAGAGAACACTTTGATTCCAAAGTCCAAATGCCTTCCACCCTTTTGCCAAAGTCCCCTCAGGGGGCATACTCAATTCCTTAACCTTCAGACTCAAAACAGCTTGATATTACAAAACAATCCATTAAAAAGGCAAGGAAGTGTGTACTTTGGGACAGATTATACCACTTTTATAGTCAGTAGACTAGAGGCACTCATTTGTCACAGGTGACGTTAGAGAAACTGGGTAGTCAAAGCAAACCCCAGAGTCTGGGAACAGGAGTTTTGCTGACTCCCTGGGACTCGGAATTCCAAAAATTAGATTCCAGTATTGGGGACTCTTTCACCATTCTTGCTGACCAGCATTAGGCAGCTTCAACCTCAGTAGCCTAAAGTGCTGGTTCGGACAGCAGCATAAGTTTTCCATGATCCTCAGTCCTCTGTACCAACACAGTCTTAGGTCCGGAGTGACAATCTCCTGAGAAACGGAGTCACCTTTTCTCCCACCCAGTTCAGCCTGAGAAATCTACGAAATCCAAGGGGTTCTATTGGGTGCTCCCTCCTCCCCAGTCCCGCGGGGAAAGGACAAGGGGAAAGTAGGTACGGTGGCCATGTCTCGGCCGCAGGCTCCTCACCCAACAAAGTTCGGTCATCTGGTGCACCAGCTGCTGGAAGCGCTGCTTCTGAGTCTCCACCTCAATGAAATGCTGCAATTGCGGGTCCACTGAACCCAAACCCGCGGCAGAAGATGACGAAGAGGAATCCATCCTAGCAGAGGCACGCGTGCTGAAATGAACTCCGTAGCAACTCACCGACCTTCACGTGTCTCCACGACGGAACCGGAACCAGAATCCGGTGCCTTGGGGACCGCCCCCCCCCCCCAGCACATTGCGCCTGCGGGAGACTTCGCGTGGGCCCCACTTGCTTCACAAAGCTCCTCCCAGCAGCCCTAGCGTTCCACCCTGGTCGGAACCTCCTGGACCTACCTTCGGCCCCTAGCTGGCGCACTCCACTCAAGTCTGCTATTCTCGCTCCTGCCTGTGCTCGCAACCCAGCTCTCTGCCCTCCACTGTTGCTGGGCGCTCCTAATAGCTGTCTGCGAGCCCCCTCCCTCCCCGTCCCTACTAAGAGCTGTTCTTGGCCCCTGTGTGCCCTTGTCCCGACCCCATCCCCACCTTGCCTGCGCACTGAGGTTTCAGGACTTGCATCCCAGAGCCCCATTGTTGTACGGACCTTATTCGGAAAATAAATTTTTTTTAAATCAAGTAAAAAAGGAAGTTACTGCAGACCACATGGGTGGTTCCTAACCGGCTCAACAGTTCCACCTTTGTCCACTGTTTTGCCAGGTGCTCCTCTCCATGCTTTGCCAGGTGCCTTGCTCCTGGCCCAACTGATCTGTCTGTCCTCTTAGCAGTCCCAGGTTTTCCCCTCCTGACTTCGGGAAAGAGGCTCCAGCAGAATTCGTCTGAGAGCAGAAGTTTCAGAGGCAGAATTTTCTCAGAGATGGAGGGGATAAATGCCGAGGATCCTGTCGATTTCTCAAGACAGGAATATGCCAAACCAATACCACAAAACAGTTTTCTAGAACACTGAGATGGGGCATTTCAGGGAGGCTGCATAAATAAACGAGATGGCAAGAAACCTTCATGCTTTCCAGTAATTTTATTTTATCAAAACACCCTCCCCTCCCACTTCTGTGACACTTTTATTTTTGCCAAATTCTATCTCCCTTCCCGTAAGCTCTAATGCCTACCCAAAAGAGCTGTTGGACCCCTTGTGAGGCTATTTACATCCCCCCCCCCCCCGCCCAAACTGTTTGCATCCCAAATTTAGTCTCTTGATACTCGGGAAATTTATTCTCTGGGGTACAAAATACCAGGCACAATAATTCCATGGCCTTTGCTCACAAGGTACTATCCCAGGGAAGCAAAAAAGGGAGGCATCCCTAGATGTAGAGAGGGGCTTTTGTGTATTCAGTGAGAGTACAAAGGCTTCAGGGCCTATAGACTGGGTTTGTCCCAGAGAAAGTGAAACTGGGTTTTTTGGAGGAGAGTAGAACCAGAAAGCTTATTGGTGAGCTTAGGATTCTTCATCCATGACATCTAGGATGTTACTCAGAAGAACTCTGAAAGTGGGACGTTCATCTGCTTTCTAAAACCAAAGAAAAAGCACAGTGTTATAGTGAGCTAAAATCCAGAATTCAAGGGAAATACAATGAGAGAGCAGCAAAAGTTTATTAAGTATATACTATCTGCCCAGTAACATACCCTGTTGATTACAAAAAAAAAAAGGAAAGAAATAGTAGCACTCTATAAAATATTCGTGCACTTTTCATCTTTAGTAACTCAGATTATTAACGTGATGAGGACAATTTGCAAATTAAACTGATGAACATTGATTAAAATAGGGTAAGTTCATTATGTAATTGTACACCAATGCTTTCTTATTGTGCACCTTCAACTGAAAAATGGCTACCAAGCAAGAGGTTGACAGAACTGAAATCCTATAAGCTTTGATAATTTTTAGCTTGGTTTCAAACACTGTTTCTATCATCCCGTCATCAAAATTAACAAAGGAATTAACATTTCAAGACCATGGGCTGCATGCATCACTGGGCAGGGATCCTGAACACCTGGAACCTATTGTCTGGTTTGCAGACTAAGGCCTTTTGTGACAGCCATGGTCCATAAACCTCTGAGGTATTTATCAGAACCAAAAAGCCATCAATTTTTGTTCCTTTGAATCAGTGGCTCTCAAACCTAGATGAGTATCTGAATTTCTGGGGCCTTGGCCTGGTAGCTCAGTTGGTAGGAGTGTTGTCCTGATAACACCAAGGTTGCAGGTTGAATCTCCAGTCAGGGAACAGAAAAGAATCAAGCAATGAATTAATGAATAAGTGGAACAACAAGTGGTGCTCTCTCTCTCTCCATCCCTTTCTCTCTCTCTCTCTCTCTCTCTCTCTCTCTCTCTCTCTCTCTCTGAAATCAATAAATTAAAAAAAAATTAAAAAGATATTTCTGGGTTCCACTCCAGACAAACCTCATCAGAATCTCTGGAGATAGGACCCAGTCATCTATAGTTTTAGGTGTTCCCCAAGGATTCTGATGTACATCCACTTTGGAGATTACCACTTTAAACAGGCTGTGGGGAAAGTGCCTCTCTGAAACAGTTAACTAACAGAGTGAGGATATCCTAATTTGGAGAGAACATAGCCACTCAGCCTTAATCCTGAATGGCACAGGAGATAGAAGAGAAATGGCTCCAAGAGGTTCTCCATACTTTCCTTGTGACTACAGTCATTTTTTGAAGGAAAAGATTCCATGCTCTGATTCAGGTCCCCAACTTTTTACCCCACCAAAAGGGCTCCAGATTCACATATGTGTTTGTTGGAAATTGTCTTTCTGTTTCTAGTGGGGCAGAACTAAAAGCTGAGCCTTTATTTTACTAAATATTGAAGTTGCCAAATTAAGGTTGCCAAGGATCTACTGAAGAGTGGAGAAGGCAACTCTGGAAGAACCAAAGGTGATAGCAGCAAAGCATTTCAGTAATAGTAGGACAGGTTCTTTGTTTTCAAAATACAATATGCCCCAAAATGCACCATTTTTTAAAATAGCACTACCTATTTTTGTTCCCTTTCAGGTCATAGCACCTTTATTTTTAAAATCTCACCTAGAGACACAGCCAGAAGGGTTGGCAGTAAAGTAGAAGAAAGGACCAATGACTCTCAAAAGAATGAACGCACATTTTAATGACTTTTCATTTTTAATGCCATACATTTGTCTGAGTGCCTTTGGCTGCCTGTATATACTAGGTGACATGGCTTCACATCACCCCTTATCCCTAAAGCTGAGTTGTTATTGGAGTCTGATAATAATACTTTAGTGAGAATTGGAGTGGGCCCAGGAAAGTTTATGGCCATAGAAGGATTATGGTGCAGGCTAGGGTCTTAAAATGTTTGCAGCTCCATGCAGTCAGGGAGAGCGGGGAATGGGTGCCTGGCTGGCTAAATGAGAAACTAGGTACAAGAAAATAATTTAACAGGCCCCAATAAAGCACTTACCTCATGCCAGCAGCTGTACATGATGGTATATACCCGCTCAGAAGCTAGATGAGGCCTGTAGAGACGCAGGCCTTGGGCAATGTGTTCAGCAGTTTCACTGTTAGTAAATCTCTCATATGGCATCTTCCCCAGAGAGTAAATTTCCCACATCAAAACCCCTAGGAAATGAAAAAAAAATGTAGTAAGTCAGTTTTCAGTCTTTTCAGGTATTAGGGATCCCAGTCTTCCTAAAACAACCTCAAAAAGTAGATTCAGCTGAATTGCCCCTCTGTGGTTTTTGCATTTTGTCCAAACTTCCACCATAGTACTGACTACACTGGAGGCTAATCAGGGTTGCACTGGACCATTAGCTCCTCCAGGAGAGAGATAGCATCTTATTTGTCTCTGTCATTATAGGTTCTGGCAGAGTGCTGGTACATAATCAGTATTCAGAAGCCATCAAATACTGAATGAATTGTTTGTTGCCCTCATTGTAACATATTATAAATTCTAAGAAGGCAGGGATTGTGTCTAATTTACTGGTTTTATTCCCAGAAATCCTGGGGTGCCTGACATAGTAAGCACTCCCTAAGGATTATAGGAATGAAAGCAAGAACAAATTACCTCTTTGTGCAGGATGCAAAGTATCAATTTTCCTATTGCATTCCTCTGCCTGAGTCTTTTCCCTATTGCATAATCTTATCCACTCACCGAAAGCCCAAATGTCAGATTTACTGCTGAACTTGCTGTACATAAGCACTTCTGGTGGAGACCACCGGACTGGAAATTTGGAGCCCACTGAACTTGTGTATTCATCATCCAGAACATACCTGCAAAGGATTCAGGACTCGTTACTGTTAGGATTTGGAGAGCTTGATATGTATCTATGTTTTCTTGGCACAGTCACAAGAATTGCACAAATACATGCCTACAGGCCAGCCAGTGTGTTTTAAAATGTTATTTTTAAACATATTCCTGTTCTTATATCTGACTTAGCTTCCCTGATTGACAATTGGTTACAGTGAAGGTGAAGTGAAATAAGACCTAATAGGTACTCCCTTCCTCCTCTCTATCCTTTTCTGTTCTCTATCCTTCTCCTTCCCTCCCTCTATTCTGTAGTGCCCAGTGAGACTTAAACTAATTAGGAAATAAGAAGGGATCGAATAAAGTCAACAGGATTAAGAGATCAAGATAGGCACTGGGAAAATTCACTTAAAAAGGGAAAGAGAAAGGAGAAGGAAGGAATATAACAATAAAACAAAAGGAGGAAAGAAGCGACAAATCATTCAGAGAAAGAAAGAAGTTGAAAAAGACTAGAATGAGAAAAAGAAAGGCAAAGGATTGAAAATTGTAATGTCTCCTTAAGTTTGTACTGTGCTATTTTTCCTTTTGGAGTGAAAGAAGAAAAAGACACACTTACCTGGACAGGCCGAAGTCAGATACTTTAACAACTCCTTGATCGTTTACCAAACAATTTCGAGCTGCCTGTAGTACAACAGATAGCAGTGAGACTCCAACCCTGGCACACAGGTAAAAGGCACAAAACTTCTGCCCACCAGGGGAGTGAAGCCAGGGTAGTCTCATCTCCTTGAACTAGAGACACCTTTCCACCTTATAGGAGACAGCTGACACTGAGAAATGTTGATGTATTTCCACCACATGTAAAGCAACCTGATATGTGTAGTAATAAGCAAAACACTGAGGACATGCAGAATCATTTCATTCACACTGGCAATTCCTCAACACCCCATCCTGCACTCAGAGAATTTTGGGAGAACAGAAGGCAAGAGAGCTTTGATTTCTGCTTTTCTGCCAGTGGTACTAGGGCCCTCTGAGCCTT